TCACAAAATGCTTAATAGAACCAGAAAAAATATCGCTTGATTTCTCCCTGATCTAACCTCTCCAACATTGAGTACTTCAGTATTAAACAGGATAACTAATCTTCAAATGAAATGCCTGCTATTTCTAATAGCAGTTGTACATAAGCCATGGTAAACAACAAAAGTATAAAAGCTACTATGGATAGTTTTCTTTCATTTATTTTTAACAACAGGTAAAACCAGCCAGTATTACAGAAAAATAATATCAGGAAAGGAGGCAGAATGAAAATTGCTAATAATAAACAAAAAAAATACCCCATAGAGCTAAACTGACATGACTTTTTTTCTTGACCACGAAATGTAGTATTTAAAAAATGGGGCTTAAAACATCTGAATGTCATAGCAAAATAAGGACTCAAAAGCCAATATCTTTTTAACTCTTACATGACTGACTACTGAGAAGAGTCTAGAATAATGTGGAGTTTTAGGGATGAAACACTTTTTACTGCTATAAAGTCACTTTTTATCAACTTTGCAAAGTACTAGGGAAGCAAGGAGACAAGAAAAGCCAACTGAAGGCAGATCTTAAATTGATAACATGAGACAAGGGAACTTCTCATTTTTTCCCTAAGCTTAAAAAAAAAAAACTGTACTAGCACCTTCTTTCTTGTTGTATGAAGACACAATGAGAATTCTGCCTGACTGTCCAGGTCCTCGATAGTCTGAACCCTTCAGCACAGACAAGCACTTCATCCCCATTTCCCGTCCAGGCACAAGACTGGCAGCCAGGCCAGGGCGTGTACTGACTCGCCAATATACAGCTGCTCTCTCCTTATGGTTGAGCTGTTCTGCTAAGGATCTTGTCTCCCAGCATGGCCATCCCTCTTTCCTGAACTTAATCACTTCCTACCTGTCCATACCCCTAAGACTAGCTCAGGAATCAACCTCTCCACTCTGACCCTCAGAGTCCTTCTCTCCTGGAATGCCCACATCACTTAGAATACTCAGGATTCAACTGAGTGCCCGAGTATAGACACTTTTACACTGCTTGCTTTCTTACCCTCTGCGCTAGTTTTGATGTCCCACTACATTGAAACCTTCTCAGAAACATGTCTCATACTTCTTTATCCATCTTGAACAGTGCTCAGCTCACACATACATTCATTTAAAAACTATGTAATTCGCACCTACCATGTGCCGGATAGTATTCTAAATGTCACAAAATACAGCAGTAAAAAAAAAAAAAAAACAACCCTCTGTCTTCATGGACCTTACATCTATAGGGAGTGGAACCAAAGGGACAATAATAAGAGACCAGATCAGAAACGTAACATGGCATAGAGTCTGTGAGCCATTATAAGAATCTGACTTCTCTGAGTGATATGATATGACTAATATATTCAAATGGTCCTTATGGCTATTTTGTTGGAAGTCTCAAATAAGGGAGCAAAGGCAGAGGAAGGAGATGAGTTAAAGGAACCTGCAATCATCCAAGTAAGAGATGGTGGGGCTGAGACCAGGAGAGGTTAGTAGACATAGGGATAAAGGATCATATTCTAAGTACATTTTTAGTATATTGATGACAGGACTTGCTGACAGAATGGATTTGAGTGACAAAAGGCAAAAAGAGCCAATAGTGGCCCAATGGATTTTAGCCTGAGCAACCCAGAAGCTGGAGGGAAATGAGGTGTGATGCAAAGGCTGCAGGAAGAATGGACTCAGGGTGGCTAGAGAGGGCAGGGGTTTCTTGACAGAAATAGGAAAGGAATTCCATAAATGTTGAGCGTTTATTCTAGAAAAGTTGAGGTTTATTTCCATTTCGTCTTAAAAACCAATAATCCAATCACTCTACTGCTGATAATATCAGTTTCTCCCATCTACAATTATTCTTTATAGACTCAAGGTTGTGAGAAAAAGCAAGTACTGATGAGTTCAACTCTTTCAAAGAATTTTCTACAGTTTGGACTTACTTTCTTTTTTTAAATTTTGGTGGATACATAATAAGTGTATATATTTATGGGGCATATGAGACATCTGGGCTCATTTTCCTTGTTTTTAAATATGGTGGTGATGGCAGGGGGAGGGGTGAGAAAGGAATCATTGTTAACCATCTAGCTCATAAAAATTTTATTGTAATAGATTGTATGTAAGTCACAACAATAACTAATTTTTTATACTACTTATTTACCCAGGCAGTCATGTGTTCTTCATCAAACTTTTATTGACTGCCTGATATATACAGGCACTGCATAGGTTGTAAAATGATCAAAACTGGATTCCTCAACTTGGGGCAAGTAAGGAAATTTTAACATCTGAAAATCGATACAAACATGTTAGATATCCAACAGGACTGAGCTGAGACCTGAGCAGTTCCTTTCTCCTGATGGACCTCAGTTTTCTCATCTGTTAAGTGAGTAGGCTTGGACTGGTTCATCTCTAAGGCTCTTATCCATTCTAATATCGTACGTTAAGGACATAAGTAAGCCTTAAAACACACTTTTTAAAGAACTCCAAAATATGGAAGAAGAGAATGTAGCAGGTCCATGACAAGACAGTTCCAAAATCATTCAAGGAAGTAGATTGATTATGGAACTATAAAAATGGTAGTAAAAACTTTGTTGAAAAATCAGGAGGGCTTCAATTACAAAGAATTTTAAAATAAATATTATGCTAGGCTGGGCACGGCAGCTCACGGCTGTAATCTCAGCACTTGTGGAGACCAAAGTGGGAAGATGGCTTGAGCCCAGGAGTTCATGACCAATCTAGGCAACACAGTGAGATGCCATCTCTACAGAAAATTTTTAAAAAGGTAGCCTGTAGTTTCAGCTACTCAGTAGGCTGAGGTGGGAGGATCACTTGATCCTAGGAGGTTGAGGTACAGTGAGCTGTGATTTCACCACTACACTCCAGCCTGGACAACAGAGCAAGACCCTGTCACAGATAAAATAATAAAATAAAGAAAACAAAATAATAAATATCATGCTGGAGGCCAAGATTGTTTTTCAGTATGCAATGGAAATTCAGGCAAGATGTATAATCATGGGAGAAACATGAATATGATTATGTGAGATTTAATTATCAGTAGTAGATGGAGGAGAGAGAATAGATGGGCAAATACTATGTGTTGCACACAGACAACAGAACAGTGCAGTGGGACAGACACTACCAAAAGTAGCAACAGATTCTGCCTACAACTATTCCAGAACTAAACACAAAAGGCTGAGAATGCGGAATTAATGACAGTATGTGTGTGCACGTATGTTGTATGTATATGTACATATGAATATGTGTATAAATTATATGTAACAGAGTACTCAGAAGGAATAATTCTTCAAAGATAGAAATAACAAATACGAGACTAAGGACAGTGGCTCACGTCTGTAATCCCTGCACTTACAGAGACTGAGGCGGGCGGATCACTTGAGGCCAGGAGTTCCAGACCAGCCTGGCCAGGATGGTGAAGCCCCATTTCTACTAAAAACACAAAAACTAGCTGGGCGTGGTGGTGGGAGCCTTTAGTCCCAGCTATTTCAGAAGCTGAGGTGTGAGAATTGCTTGAACCTGGGAGGCAGAGGTTGCAGTGAGCCGAGATCACGCCACTACACTCCAGCCTAAGTGACATAGGAAGACTCTGTCTCGAAGAAAAGAAAAATAAAAGAAATAATAATTGTGAGTGATTTGTAGACCACTGGATTTGGTGAAAAGTGGGAAGACTCAACAATGACCTAGCTTCCTAGGAGGCCAACTGGAAAGATAGGGAGACCACCAGCAGAAAATAAAAAGGAATGCTAGGCAAGTTAAATGTACTGTGTGTGTGTGCATACACACACACACATATACAAATAGTTTCAGAGAGTCAAAAAGATTATGGTCTTGATGGAAAATTTATTTGGACTAAAGAAGGTTCCTTGAGAAAGATTTAGTAGGAAAATGGCTACCTGTCCATATGTCTGATCCAGTTCCAGCTGCAGTCAAAGAAAGCATTTTCCAACTATGCTTCCCTTACAAGTAATAAATGTTCATGATTTACATTGCTGGACACAGCATGAGGCAATCTTTCAGGTTTGCTGTTACTATGTGAAGCGAATGATGAAAAACGATTTGGAATGGCATGTTTATTTTTAAAAATGAATCAGAATGATTTGATTGTCAACAGTGAAAAATCACAATGAAGATATATATTGGACCCAAAATTCATTACATATTTTCTCTTAAGTTTACTATGTGAGATATTGCTATTTGCTAGTAGGGTAAGTTACTGTTCCAGTTTTAAGCTAAAGTACATAAATGCTACAGGTTGTTATTTTTAAATTAAATAGATGCCACTGTCGGCTTATAAGAGAAAAATATTTTCGTGCCTCATTTTTAAAAGTAATCTTACGTACAGATATTTAAATATTTTATATATTTACCATTTTAATAAATTTCTTCTACTTGCAATTATTTATCACATAACACGTTTAAATATAAGAAATATAAATTTTTGCTAGTAATTTTGCTAGTAAGGTAGTTATTGTTTGAGCTGTAAGCCAAAGTAAATAAACACTACAGGGTGTTATTTTTATATTAAAGAAATGTTGCCTGCTTATAAAAGAAAGGACTTCGGTGTGTCATTATCAAAAGTAATCTTACTTATAGATCTTTAACTGTTTTACATATTTACTATTGTATTTTAATAACTTTCTACTATTTGCAATTATTTATCATGTAACTTGTTTAAATATAAGAAATATAAATTTTTATTTCTTATAGAAATTTTTATAGTTACAGTATACTTTTTAGATCAATCTATATTTTCTGCAATTTCCTTCAAAATTGATACTGAGGTATATAAAAATTTTATTTTTTTAGTTTAAGAATCTAGATATCTGTTAAATAATGGTATATTTGATTAAAGCAACACTTGGAAGAAAAGATTTAAATATCAGATCCTAAAATGCTGAAAGGAAATTTCCTACTCGACTTTGGTGTTTTTCTTCTAGCATGTGTTTTTTATGATGTAGCAGAGAAACCAGTCTCACCTGTTTTTGATTGTAGGTTTCTTCTTGGTTCTTCAGGGGCCTCAATTGGCTGATCAGCCAAGAAAACTCGGGCCTGGTCGACAGCGTTCAGGACGGAATATTCTTTCTCTTTTAACTCTCGTCTCAGGGCCTTTCGAAAGAGAGGCAAAAGTTGAGTATGTAACCTCATGTGTTCACCAAATAATGGGACAATTTCAATATATTCAACCACTTCTGACCACACTTATCAAGAAAATGACTAATAGCAAGCATCTCAGCTAAGTTAAAAGCCAAAATGTAAATTTTAGAGATATGAATGAAGAAAAATAGGAACAAAGGCAAAAAGATAATTTCTGTAAAACTTAAGTATGCAAAAAAAGAAACAGCGTTAAAATATTCACCTAAAGGAAATTGTTACAGTGTATTTGAACTTACACAAAATGTACTTTTAGACTTTTCACTGATGTCAGATTGATAAAATCTAATAGCCTGTGCTAAGATACCTTTTTTCTTATAAGACTACAAAAAAAATTATCCAATGATACAGAGAAAGGTAATTTCACAAGTAGCAATGAGATCCTCAGAAGTGCTTTACAATTTTTAGAATACATTAAGGAAAAAAAATGAAGAGACAGTAACAAAGTACATACAGAAATCAAAACTAATCCAAAGACAGCACATATAAAACAGTCTCCAATTATCTTAAAATATGTTCCATCTCTCATGCTGAGGCAATTATCATTTTTCCTTTGTGAGGTTTTTCTTGCAAATCTATGATTCTGAGAATAGTTTCCCTTTAGCATTTTTGTTCTCTTAGGTGGAGCTAAACTTTCACCCCTACACCTATGAAAACAACAAAATTCCTTCAGCAACTACTGCAAGACAAATGAAGATTTTCTCAGGTGCAATTTTAATGCTGTTGCCAAATTGAATTTGTTAATATTGTTATCCTCTTAAACATCTAACCACCTCCTGGCTCTAATATTTTGCTTTCAGTATAGTTCCCTGGCAACCTATTATGAAAAGTCAGACTTTTATTTCCTAAATACTGAACTTTCATTGTATTTTAGAATGAATAAAATCTTTCCTTTTGAAGACAACTAAATTTGTAGTAGTATTTGACATAACTATGTTGGGATGCTAGAGTATTTGCAGGCAAGAGCCTTTTCTTCCACAGTCAATAAAAGGTAAGAAGGAAAAAATCTAGAAATACCAGAATAATCATCTTATGTAAAAATATGGATCTAAACAAAACAACAACAACAAAAAAAACCACTAGTAATGAAGTTGACAAAGATTAATGGGCTACATTTTCTATATCCAGAAAATCTCATGATAGCCTTTATGAAATCTAAAGATTCAAGGAGGATTTAGCAGTAAATCAAGAATAATGATTAAACAAGGCCATGAAGCATGCACACACACCCGTCACTCTCCCCAAGTACTACTTAAGAAACCATTATTCATGATAATTTTCCTACACGCATATAGAGAAGATAAGTCATAATGTGGTAAGAGTACTGGAAAGTGCGCTTGGGCTAACCAAAGTGTAGCTTAACCCTCACAGGTGGGAGGAATGAGAACAGCTGACAAGAACTAGTGAGAGATGGAGTGACAAAAATGCTATTTGTTGTGTGTTAGTATTGTAAACATTATT